ACATATCAGAATCTGGCCCACAATTAGGTGGTAACAGCTGCTGCATTATATATGCCAGTGCTGACAGATGAACCCAGAATCTCCAGTCCTTTCACAAACCCAGCTACTCTACATATGTTTACTTCAGCACATACAGACCAAGTTAAGATTTACAGATCAAAGCGCTTGCTTGTTAATCATATTCTTAGCTGGGAACAGGAAAATAGCAAAGTTAGAGACCAGAGGCTGAATGAGTTCTAGTTCCCTTTCTCCCTTAGCACCAAGGGGTCCACTGGGGAACAAAACTTAGGTAGGTCCCCCTCACACTCCTGTCAGCAAGTAGAGGTTTGCACCTTTTCCTGAAATGTGATCTCTCCCCCAGCCCTTCTAATTTACATGGCTCTCTCAAGCATGTGCTCAGTGTTCACTCCTGGGCTTTCAGTGGCTTCAGTCCCGACTGCTGTGCTCTGGCAAGGAGGTGCCCTTTATGACCTGGACCCAATGGACATTTTGTGCCTGCAGTGTGTTTTAACATACAGAAATATAATCATGACTTATTGCAAGTGTAGGTTTTGTGGCTGAATTTACCCAGCATTACTGAATATTTGTAGGGCAGATGCCTTAAAATGACTTTAAAGTGTGTATAGCTGATTTATAACACTTATGAGAAAAAAGATCTTTGTTTCCTTGGGTTCAGTGAACTGTCAGATATTATTATAGTGCCATATACATAAACAAGAATAAAAGTGTTTTGCACAAAATCATGCATAAATTATGTCAGGCATTTGGAAAATTGTATACATTTATTCATGTTTTAAAATAATCCAGGCACAATTTTGCAAATACACAGAAGCACACTCTCCAAATGGGAGCAAAAACTAAGTAACATGTAGCAAGAAAACACATGGCAAAACATACAAAGTTAAGTATAAATGGTATGAAAGTTTTTCTTAGTCTACAGTGGTATCTGCTATCCATACACTTGTCAGCATTACAAAAGGCAACCAAAGAATACAAGTAATAAATTGTGTAACATGAACCACCCAGAAAAGTTTATGTTAGCGCATATAGTAGCAACTTTCTATGAACAGAAGAATGCTTGCACACTGTATAGAAATGCATATATGCACACATATACAGATACAACTGGAAGGCCACAAGAACAAAATTACCCTGGGAGAATGATTAAGGGAATTTCTATGTGTCTTGCAGTATATAAAAACAATGCATGCATTAGCAAGCACCCAGCATGATCAGGATAAAATTACATCCACGAGCAGAATCACATTAACTCTTCATCAAACAAAGCACTTACTGTGCTGTACCCATGTTGGATCACTTTGTCCTATATCACACTCCTGATTTATGGAGCACATTTGGATGGTAAATTTAGGAAGAATCAGAAGCCCTTGATTCCCATGGTCTGATAGGAGGAATCAGATCTCAAATTTGAAAGAAAAATACCCACGGAAAAAAATACCCTTGCAAAGCCTGAGTTATAAGATGGTCTAGCAGGAATTCCACTTTCCTGTGGGACAGTCCAGTACAGTGGCCTCACTTAATGAGCTTTAGTTTGCATGATGGAGTGTTCCTGAGCATGTGCACCAGATTCCTTCTGGATGGAAGCAAAGGATGTGCTCCAACCACTAGTGGCATTCAGCCCCTGGGATCAAACTAGAGGTAAGTGTGGAGGTCAGGTCCTTAGCACCAACAGTTTCAAGCTACAGATCCTATCCAGCTAAGCTAAATCTTTGCTAACACAGACACAGGCTTTGGAAATACACAGAATAAACATTAATCCACAAGTACTATAAGCTGTATTTACCATGTAGATTAGTCTTGTCCTTAATTGCCCCTACTTGACAAAAAAGGGACCTTCCCTACAGACACCCACTGTGTTTGCAGTGTCTGTGTATGAGAGGGGCGCAGGTGATCAGCCAAAAGAGCTGTGAGCACACAATTTGTTTTTCCTTCAACCATCTTCGGAAATACTATTTTCAGTAGCAAAATTATTAAAAACTCTGCAGGCATCTTAGCCAATCTTCTACATGTTCAATTCCCATTAAAAAATACTCCTGTAAATAAAAAAACTTTTGGGATCATTGCTCTCCTAACCTCTCAACAACATCTGTGTCAAAAAAGTCATTCCCAAGTTACACTCGGGATGTGAGATTTCCTTAGAACAGAACTGTGATTTTGAGTGCCACAGTAGGTTCACAAAAGCAAGCTGAATCATTTCTGATATTTCAGTGAAAAATGTCAAATTTAGTAATTATTTCCTGACTGGTTTCAACAGTTTGTTTGCTGCCAGCTGCTAATGGCATTTACACAGCTCCAGCAAAGTGCTCTGGGCAACACATGATATGAGAAAAAGTACTACTTCTGCTGCTTGAACTAAGTTTACACAAAGCTTACATTATTTATTATAGTGGAGAATAAAATGTGTAACATGCTATCATGCATAATACATGGTAAGAACATGCATTACTTCAAGTTTACAGTCTCTTTCCAGTAAACTAGAACAGCAGTGGCAGATGTTGACAGCTGCATATTTTGAGGAATTCCCAGAAATAGCAGCAAGCAATGCAAAAAAAGACACGAAATGAGCTGTTTAAGACACCCATAAAACAGTAAGTCTTTGTGAGTTAATAACACAAACAATAACAAAACCCAGTGATACCTTTCCTATCATATTCCAGAGTTCAGCACCTGAGGTGAGACTGTGCCCCAAGCAAATCACGCTGCTGGCTGGGAAGTGTCCCTGCTGTGACACTGCAGCCCCAGGGCAGATTCAGCACTTTGCTGGTCCACTGAAGGGGAGGATGGGCAGGCTTTGTGTGGACCACATGCTGCCTAAGTCAGATGGAGAATTCTTCTCCACTGGGGCTGGAAAGGGCCCAAAGCTGCAGCTGGGTAGGGACCTACAAAAACTAGGGGAGCAGGCCCAGATGTGGCACACATGTCAGTATGGCTTCCACAGAAGTCCTGTCTTTCAATGGAGAGAGACCTTTTCTTTCTCCTTCAGCCCCTTTTAGAGGGTTTGCCTAGGAGACTCTAATCCAGAACAGACACACAATCTTCTGCAGATTATGCAAGACAAGGTTTACAAAAAGCTTCCCCCTTCCCTATGACTTTAGCTATACTCATCACAGCAATAGCCAGAAAAATAGAAATCAATCTGCTGGCTGGCTTCACTCCTCTATGGTTAAGTTTCATTCCTGTGCATCCTCTCAGGAAAGAAGCAACAGAATGAAACACATCTGTTGAAAATGAAACGTTTCCTCCCCCAAAGGAACTAAATATAGCCAGGAAAAACAGGACTTTTTTAGTAATATACAACTGTTGCTCACAGTACATCACAATGCCCACAGACAGCTCCTGTGTGAGCACCAAGGTTCACTCTTGTGGGTACCCTAAGGTTCATCATGAACACACCCCAGGCTTGCTTCAGCACAACTAAAGACACACTATTTCTGACATACATGCAGAAAAAAAGACAGCAAATTCTAAGCATCAATATGTAAAGGGCTTCTGATCTTCTGCTCACTAAGAGCATTATCCAGGTATAATTCACAAGGGATTACTTACTTAATTCTTACTTACCTGGACATGTCTTCTGGTTGAGCATCTGTGCTCTGCTGCCAGCTATCTTTGTGTGGGGTCCTACTTCAGTCCAGACCACTAGCAGGTGAACAATGGAAGACCATCAGCATCAGTCCTCCAACAGTTGGATGGGCTTCTCTTAATTAATTCTGCAAAGCATTTTGTGCTTTGGTGCTTCCCAGACAAAACTGCTTACCTTGGCACCCAGGAGTGCAAGGATTTTACTGGGGTATGTGCTGTATTCATGAACTTGCCAAAGCCAAGTGAGTGTTCTGATAACTTGTGTCAGGCTGACTTCTTCATCTCTGGTAGTGTTTATGTGCAAATATTTAACAACACAGAATTTGCATCCATTTTTTCCTGTAAAGGGCATGGCTTTCCCATTGCTGATAATTCCTACTCGAGAGAGTAGGACAATTATTCTACATGGGAGCTAAAGGCATTTGAAGAAACCAAACACTTTAGTAAAGTATTTCCAAGAGAGATCAATGGGTACTCCTTGCCTAAAGCACTTTAGGGGCATTTTTTAGAAGTTGGAACACCATCTGCTCCTAAGTAGAGCTCTCCATAAGTCCTCCCCATTTACTGATGTAACTGATAGGAGCAGTCTGCAGATGGAGCCTCCCAGCCCAGATGGAAAGGGAATTTGGCTGGATCTAAAAACTAATTTTTTTCTTTCTGAGAAGAGGCCTTGGTATAAGCAGAAGGATGTGATCTGGACTTCTAATGGGGATGAAAAAGTTGGGATGATGTCTGCTATGTCAATTTGGAAAGAAAAAACAACACTATTTTAGTCAATTATCTATGAATAGTAATTAGCCAGTCAAAAAGATATTTTTTAATGAAATTTACTGCTCCTACTTAAAACTTTCTACTTTGAAAACAAAAAGTCATTAGGTAATGCAACATAAAACATAAAGTATATTTACATTTAAATGTTTATTAAAACCAAGCCATTTATGCCTTTTTTATGTCTTTCCCTCTTTTAAAAAAAAGTTTATTAAATCCCCCCTACATTTTGGAAGAAACTTTTGATGACTACTCAGCTCACTGATGGCAAAAAAAAAAAAAAAGCCAAACTATTTTTGAGCATTCCTCTATTAGCAGCAACGTGAAAATGCATTTTGAAATCCTCAAGTAAACTCCCTGCTTGTTTTATACTCATGAGTAGTTGATTAAAAGAGGACTGCTTGAATGAATAAGCAATTAGGATATGATTACATTCAGGTAAACTGTAGTAGTTTTATCTTGAAGAATTAATAAGTGATTCTCAGCTGATTTCTTAACTGCTCTCAGAAGGTGAACCACCAAGATCCTTTATAAACATCCAAGTACTGACATTGTTTCTTTAGTACCACAGCTGGTTTTCAACAGATTTCAACCAAGTAACTTCTTTGTAGAATCATCCTTAACACAGTGGTCACAGTTACTTATAGAATAAAAATCATGTAAATATGCATTTAACTTCTGCTAAAAACAGGCTCATTTAAATAAGAGAACTGATGTTCATTTTTTCTAGTATGAATGAAGCCTGCTGCAATCTTTCTAATGTGGATCTGCTCTAAGTGCAAATCCAGGCAGAGAGCAACACCTTTAATTTGCTCTGTGACACCCAAACTAATTGTGTTCTCAATTTTGTGTACATTTAGATGTTCTTAGAGCTGTATTTTTCTTAGCTATCCTTTGTGATCGTGTTTCATGCAGCATGCAAGCACTCTTCAAAGAGCTTCAGAATGAAGCACATATTTTACAACACCTTTATGGTGAATTGGCAAGTATTAATAATCTTAAAAACTTTCTCAAGCTTAAAAACCAGGTGAACAAACTCAGGCAGAATCGTTATCCTCACTGGGGAGAAACACCCAGGGGGACAAACACTCTGCTTCACGAGGACACTTCCACGGAAGTCTGTCCAGTCCAAACAATTTCCATGTGCAGCACTTTCATAGCAGTTTTCTATTAACCCAGAAAGCTTCTAAATAAAAGTTCAATTGGCTGATGTTCTTCCTTGCAGTTCCTCTTCTCTCAAGGGAATGACAGGGTTTCCCAGGCTGCCCTGTAAACTGTATGGAACATTCTCCCTAATTCTGTATGTCCTGAATTTTTCAAATCCTGCCTTACAATTTTTTATTACCTTTCCATACATCCAGTCACCTATGTGAACTGAACAGATGCATGGTGATAAATCTGGTTTATCTACCACAGCTCTTCTTCCAACCATGACCCTTTTTCCCCTTTTGATTTCATCCCATGTTGTATCAGCATGCAACTGATTTAAGCTCCATGGACAAGAAACAGCCACCTTCAATTACTTGTATGCCACAGCACTGCCTGTAAGTTGCAGACACTTAGAACACCTTTTCTTCAAAGTGATATACAAATAAGTTGAAAATGGGAATACTCATCTCAACATCTCAAGAAAGTCAGTCAAGAAAGGGAGTAGGAAAATACTATTGTTCTTCTTTTCCAAAGAGGAAGGTGAGACAAAGTCATGCCAGAAACCTGGGACAAAGCCTGTGTTTGAATATAGATGTTTATCCAAGATCAAAAGCACGGCCCCAGCCTGACAACCAGAATGAATACCTAGAGTACCAAAGAAAGCAGTGAAAGCTGAGCTATATAAAATAATAAAAGCAGAGAGCTGCATTTATGGTAGAAAATAGAAGGGGCAGCAGAGATGATACCCTGGAATCACCTACCAACAGGAACAAGAAACCAGTGATCAAGAGGAGGAGTACTGATGAAGAGATTTCCTCCCCATCATGAGTTGGAGCTGTTGAGGAGATAATATATATGCAATGAACATATAAAATATAGATTTATATATACAAATATACAATAGGAAATAGTCAGTATACAAATACTTACATGTAAAAATAGTTTTTTACTTTCCCCTTTTCTTGATTTACAAAAGCATACAAAGTTTCCTGTTGGTTAATGTTTAAGTAGTGTGAGTAAACCCTGTGTGACATGTTCCACACATAATTCCTTCAAGTGTTCACAGTATTGGCTATTACAGTGTTGAATCTGACATTCTCGATGTTAAAATATTCATAGGACACATTCTAAAATTAAAGCATTAGTTTAAATACAGTTTAAATAAAACTCACATGTGTATTTTATGGTCATATTACAAATGAGTCTGCTGCAGTTGAAAACTTTCCGCGATAGTAAGCTTGGAAATACATACTTAAACTAGAGATGAGTATATTTTAAGATTCTTGAACTGCCTTTTAATGTGCAGATAATACTGTGAGATGGGGAATTCTTTCAACTTCATCTGAAGCAATGCAAGCTGATAGAACTCAGTATTACAAATTATCCTCAGTAGGAAAGCGATGCACAGAACAATTTGCCATCAGAATCAGATACACTGTCACTTTCTTCAGACAGACCCAACAGACAAGAATAAATGACAGGTACCATTGTTTTTGTGTTAAAAATAAATGATCTGGAGCATTCTGCATCAGGAAAGTGCTTTAAATTAAATTAAATTAGTCCTCACAACTCTCTTGTGAGGTAGATAGACACTACCCTTTTTTTAAAGATGTAGAAACTGGAGATCTAAAATAAATTATGATGGCTGCATGGGAAATACTGTCAAAATACTGTTATTTGGATGCTGGAGCAAGTCAAATGCACAACTGGAGTAAATGGAGATATTAATGAGACAACTTCACACTCACCAGCTTGGGTACTGACAGCAGGCTTGGTACAACAGCCAAAGGTTCATCATGGGCTGCAAAACACAATCCCTGCCAAGTGCCATTCTGCTGGAGCTGAAGTGTAGGACAACAGCTTCAAAAAGCACAAACTACACAGTCCTAGATGGTGCAGACTGACCAAGGTGGAAGGAAGCTGCATTTCAGAAGTTATGAATTAATCAGGAGTCTTGAGTAGGTAATATCTTCTCAATCAACAGTTGGGTACAGTTCAAGAACCATGCTTAGCTCATCTCTAATTTTACCATATATGCAAGTGCTCACAAGATACTGTGTATCAATGCATTCAGCTGTTGTTTTTTAAAATTTACTCACTCCTGGACCTTGGAGGTCTGTATTTTTCCTCACATTTCTCTTGTGAAAATTTCTACTGATACCACAAATGGAACTAGTGCTTCAGTGCAGCAAATGAGCTGCAAATAATAATTTTAAATGTCTGAGATGATGGACAATTTTCAAAGGACCACCATGCTCTCTGTGTGCACTTGTATATACAGAAGATCTGTGTTAACTCCTCCTGTCTTGAAGTAAAATCCAGTTAAAGTATAAAGTGCATAGTGTGGATTAAAACCCTAAGAAATAACAAACAATGTGTCTGCCTTCCACAGATGATTAATTTTGCTTAACAGCTGAACGACCACCATCTTTGTCTTCTGGGTTTTAGTTTAGTGTTACCTAGGCTGAGAAAGCCCAGCCAGATGTAAGCAAAACTATTGTAAACTGAGACATTTTTGTAATATGCTGTCAAGAGAGAGTTAAGTAAACCAGTATCAAGACACTGTCCAGTTGGGATGTGTGAATATTATTGTGTGCTTCTTGGCCCACTTAGCAAATACTTTCTTTTCTGTGATAAACCTGTGGCCTCCATATGGAGCATTTTCATGGAGAAAGTATTCCTCACACTCATCTCTTCCTGGCTCGTAATAGTGGTAGGGAACTTTGCGAAAGCCTTCTGACCTAGGGAGAAGAAAGATATACTTCAGTAGTATCCTCAAGAAAAACATAAATAAGTAACACACCTGAATACGAGATACAAGCATCCTGGCTTGGATCAGCAACAGTGTGGCCATTAGGGCAGTGATTGTACCTTGTTCTCAGCATTGCTGAGGCCACACCTCAAATCCCCTGTTAAGTTTTGTGCCTCTCACTCCAAGACAGACACTGAGGTGCTGGAGTGAGTGCAGAGAAGTACAATGGAGCCAGTGAAGGGTCTGGAGTACAACTCCCACGAGGAACAACTGAGGGAGCTGGGAGTCTTCATCCTGGAGAAAAGGAAGCTCTGGAGGGACCTAACTCTTTACAACTGCTTGAAGGGGGATTGTAATGAGGAGAGGGTTGGTCTCTTCTCCCAAGGAACAAGTGACAGGACATGAGGAAATTGCCTCAAACTGCATCGTGGGAGGTTCAAATTGGATATTTCGAAAAATTTCTTCACCAAAAGGGTTGTCAAGCCCTGGAACAGGCTGCCCAGTGAAGTGCTGACTCACCAGCCCAGGATGTATTTAAAAGATATGCAAATGCGGCACTTGGGACACAGTTTAGTGCAGACTTGGTAGTGCTGGGTTAACAATGGAACTCCATGATCTTAAAGGTCTTTCCCAATCTAAACAATTCTGTGAATGATCTGAAATCCTGTCCATGTGTCAGCACTTGAACTCCTTTGCTAAACTGTAAGGGCTTTCATTACATCATGAATTCTAGGAGTTTTCCTAAGGCAGAAGAAGCTCAGTGTATCTCTCAGCACACACCGATCCCACCAGTGAGGAGCAGATGGGCTGGTTCTTTTTATTTAACCGGTGATAACTCAGCCCACAAGGCTCCCTCCCTAGACAAAGTCTTCTCACTGGATAGTCCCAGCTGTTGAAACTGGTTCTTGAACTGGCTGAACAAGGCAGTTATAAGGGTAACGTCCAATTTAAGTGGGTAATTCAGTCAGAATCACAGTTCAAAGGGGACATCCTTCTCTGCTGCCAACAGTGCTATCATGCTGTTGACTGGTTTTACATCAGGGCTATGCAATGCCAGCTTGGTTGAGCTCTCTGAGGACAACCTTAGTCCTGTCACCCCTCATCCCAGGGTGCCTACTGTGTGTTTTCATAAACAAAGAACAACATATGTTCATTCTGTTCATTCCATCTGGATGACTCAATCAGTGAGATTTGCAAGTTCTAAAAAGTCAGCCTCTAATGTTAAGATATCCTAATTAAACAGCTGTGATTCAAATTCTGTTGTTTGTGAGATTTTTTAGGTTCTGCCAGGAATGAGTCTCACATTGGAGTGACACAGAATGTGGAGTGAGAATCTGCACAAAGGCTTGACTTTAGGAGCTTGTGATGCACTGGACTGGTTACATGCAGGACTTGGGCCAGCTTAGGTACAGAAGAATAAATGTGTATGTACTAGTACCATACATTGTTCATGACATTTCCTGCTTTTTTGCATGAATGAGGAATAGTTTCACTTTATATTTTTCTACCATACACAGTAGATTAAAGTATTTAACTTGGACTTTTAAAAATTGCGTTTAGAGTTGCACTTCTGACCATAGGATTAAACCACTGTCACTGTAAGGTCACCAATAGTAGTTGGTTGAAATTTATGTCAGTTTATGGTGATAAAGCTCACAGGACTTATTTTATTATCTAATTAGAACGCTCTACTTCTCAAAACAAGCCATATATAACTGCGAAAGTTCAAGTAGGTTGCTCAATGGTAGTGAAATGTAATTTCAGGTAACTATCCTGGGCTAATCATTTTATTTCACTTCCAGTGTATTTGGTATTCAGAAAGCAATGTATTAGTTTTTTCCTCTATAGATTTGTTTTAGCAATGGAAGCAAGTACATTTTATCAAAAGAATATGAGCATACTTTGTTTCCAGCTAATTCAGAAACTGCAAAAGATCTTTGATTAAAAATAGCTCCTTATGACATCTGATGTTAGATTTTGTAAATGTTTTTATTTTATCAACAGCACATGCCATATCAGGAGGGAATATGCTGACAATAGTGTCACATCAATGAAAACACTGGGAAATGACTGCCTGATCCATTTTTTGGATTTATGATATTAAAATCAATTGTGAAATTTTGACAAGACATCAGAATTGTAGATGCATGAAAATAATTTTCTATGATCTTACTTGCAGTAGGTGTCATTTATCATCCCATAGACATGAATTCCATAGCAGGCATCCATAGCCAAAATTAAGGTGAACCAACCCGTGCTGAGATATGAGCCTGACTGGACTCTGTAAAATATAACACACACAAAACAAACTGCAATTAGAAATTATCAACACTTTATCAAAGAAATACAATCTATTGCCTGGGACAAAAGGCATTAAGCAGCTTGACAATCTGACAAAACCATACAATTACTTTGAATTATTTATAAATATGCTCTCATTCTTCCCAGCTTGGGGCCTCCAGCTATTTTCCACAAAAAAAAACCCCATGTTCAATATCAGAAGTCAAACAGTGCATCTCTAGTAAAACAGAAAATTATTTATTTTCACATCTGAAAGACAGCAATTAGTGGAGTTTGTAAAATGAGATAAAGTTTACCAAAACACAAAAGCAAAACCTGCAAGCAAAACCTTAATCTGTAGTGAGCTATCCTCAACTTGAAAATTCACACAATAAGGAAAATTCCAAGGATATTTTGGTACAAAACCATCTAATACAAGGTTCTGAAAAACAAAATTCTGTGCATATCCCTTTACCTAATTTTGTGTTATAATTCTTTGAGCGACCATAGCAAAGAGAAAAGCATGAGAGGATAGTGCCCACACTGACAGTCTAGATACATTCAATCAGCCCAGAAGTATTACCTGCACCAGTGAGAAGAATTACATGTGTAAGGATTTGGCTCACAGACTAGTTGTTTGAGCAAACACATGCATTGTCAACCACAAACCAAATCCTGTTGGCTCTGCTCACACCAATGTTACCAGTGGGGGACTGGGAGTCAATGGATTACCCAGATAACCTGGACATGCAAGACTCACTGCTTCCACTCCTCACCAGTAGCGAGAGCACACTCACCCCTTGCTGCTTATGAACTGGGTGAAGTCCAGCCTTGTGCATGTATTGCTTTCAGTTTGACTGAAATCAGTAAAAATAATTATCTTCAAATTATTTTAAAATGTCCCGTTTCCAAAGAAAGATACCACAAAACTCACAAAACCCACAAAACCATCTTAATAGAGCACCTCAATAGAGCTGGGTGTGACTGAGAGGAGGGGATATATGAGCTTTCTGCCACACCTGTAAGCTCTTAGCTTTTGTCTATGTCTGCTCTCCATCCAAAGTTAAAGCAGCCTAACATTTGCACACAATTAAGTTTTGCTGTAAAAGAACTCCCAAGTATGCCTATGTACAAATCAGTTATTGTCACCAACAAAATCTTCTGAAAACATTTTCATCCTGGTGTAGGAATAAAACTTTCATGTGGAAAAAAAAAAAAACATATAGGAATTTACCCAGCCTATGAGCCCCAACTTGCCTGTGAGACAGAAGAACCAACCTCAGGTGTTTTTTCCTGGTTCAGAGCAAGAAGGTACTCCAGTCTCCTGCCTCCCTCCTCTGCATCAATATACCAATCAGTGGCTTTTGGCACAGATTCCGTGTCACAGCCTTGCTCAAGCTGAACTAAATACTACTTAAGACAATGGTTGAAAAAGTAGTTGTACAACCTTTATCATGACAATTACCTGGCACATACAGGTCTGAGATTCAAATTCCTTCTCGGTGAAATACCTTTTATTATGGATACCAGAAAAGTTCCAAGAGTTTTACGTTCCTAAAGAAACTCCAGTACACTCCAGTTTAAATAAACCTTTGGTTTTTTTAGTGTAAAACAATTGCCTCCATTCCCAGAGCTCAGTCCAAGAACACTGAAAGTAGTTAAAATATTCACTTCCTTGCCCATGTCTGTCACCCTTCATGGTTGAGCTGGTGTGAACTTCTATCCCTGCCTTTCCTGAAATATCCTTTCCCTTGGGGAAACAGCTAAGTATCTGTTTAGCTGCTTTTGTAAAAATCATACTGGAAATAATAAATAAAGGGTTAACTTAAACTGAAGAACGACAAGTGGAAACTGAAGGCAGGGTGTCAAACATCCAGGTTTCATTAGGTGGAAACCAACTGTAATTGTGCTGCTTTTTTTGACACCTTTATAGCCACAAAAGTGTACAGCTGTTTATCTGTCCCATCAGGATCTTCATCTCTTCAACCAGAATGTTCTGCTACTGTCTAGCAGGGAGAATTCCCAATCCAATTCATGTTATTTCAAAATAACATTCTGCCATGATAAAAGGCTGCATTGCTTCTAACTTGCTTTCTGCTCTTGCACCAGGAAAACACTGGCCTTGAGCTTTCAAAGCGCTTTAGAATCATAATAACCATTTATAAGAACACGATGAAGATCAGGACCCTTCCGATAATGGAGGTTTATTGGAGAGCACTATATTGACAACAGCATCTGAAATTTGCTATACTCAGGAGGAAAAAGGAATTTAAAAAAAGAATTAATCAATATTTCATGTCTTGTTTTAACACCATTGGACCTTAGTCCTCTCATCTATATACTGCACTGGCAGGATAAATAAAAACAGCAGAGTGAGTTCCCAGGTACCTTCCCTGGGAGATGAAGTACATGACAGAATACAGATTATATACTTTAAACCAAAGCACTTATATTCATCCCATTTTTTCCTCTGAAGGTACACAGGGATATAAGGGAATATACTTAAGCAGTGGAGATTCTGGATGATTTGGTAACACCTTAGAATTCAATCTGATACCATAAACATGCTTTCAAAATTCTAATGAAAACAATATTAGAAATGCGAAAACAATTTTAGCCATCCCTAAAAAGCCATAAATCTCCAAATACCTTTTAAAATATCATCCCATAAAACTGTAGTGCAAAGCAATGTCTCAGCCCTTGCTATTATGCTAACACCATGCACTCAATTTCCCTCTCTACAGGAGAATTTTACATGTTTCTTGGTCAGGGGTTTTTGAGACTCATTAGAAAAAGAGTCCCTCTTGTTACTGTAATTGCACTCAAATTTCAAATTTTACACATAGGAAATAAAAAAATCCTCCATTTATGTGTAGCATAAGGCTATGTAACCACACAAATCTGGGGGAAGAAGGACATTAATCCCAAAGTAGGGTAAACAGGAGTTCGTTAAACCTCATCTGCAGAACTAAAGCAGGCAGATCTATTGTGATATATGTATGTGCAACAATCCCAAAATTGTTTCCTATGGCTCAGAGAGACTTTTTTCATAGTATAAAATTAATGGGGTACCAGATCTGGACAGGAAATTGTCTCAACAGCTCAGGAGAAAATAATGCACTGTTTTTCAAAATACACTTTTCAAAAGATGGCTTTGCTTTCCAGACATGATTTACAGCTGCATGCAGCAATAAAAATGCAATGCTCACAAAAAAGTTGCTTTGTTTACCTCAAAAATGAAACCTTATTTTGCATACTTCCTACTTTATTAGTATTCTTAAAGAAATGGTAGTTATAGGTTGTAATTCACTCTGCTAAATACCATCCACCATTTCAGAAAAGTACATAGGCATATGCTTAACATTAAAGACATGAAAAGACCAGTGGAATCAACTTAGTTAAAATGCTTGAAACGAAGTATATGCTTGCTTATCTTGCTCTTAGTGAAGGTTTAAGTGCTTAAAATGTCATTATTTAATCTCAGAATATAAAAGTAAGCTCCAAGATTAATAGTTACTTGAAAGTTTCAAGTCTCAAAACATAGAATTTGCATTTTTAGTAATGCCTTCCATAAACTCCAGCAGCAAGAACTGACTACAGTTTCTCACAACATGTTACAAAAGAGACTTGCATTCTGTATTTCAGAAGAAAATAGTAAAATGGACTTTTAGGACTGCCGGAGTTGTAATATGTGACACATAAAGCTTTAACTAAAATTTAATTTAAAATAAAAGCAATTAGACAGGGCTCTTCACCTTTAAGTTTCCACTATTTCACAAAAAGAATAAGAAATTGATATAAAGAAGATGGAATAGAGAATGGACCCTAAAAACGTTGGCAACTGAAATTCATCTTGTTTGACATCTATAACCGTGCTTTGATGTAGGCTAAATGAAGGAAAAACTCATTCTTTCTGTCACTGGGGGTAAATGGAACAACATAAAATATTTTCTTGGTGATCCAGGGCAGGTGAGTTCAAATCAAGTAAAAGTTTTGTTGTCACTTGAGCTCTGAATTTAGCACAGAATTCCAGGAAGTTCTTTTCTGCATTCAATTGTTCCAGGATTTTTTATGTGCACAATCAATTTTAGTTCTATGGTTCAATGGACTGTAATTTCCAGTGGGGACTTCAGTGGTAAAAAATAAAAATGAAAAAAACGTGAAGGCAGAGAAGATGTCTACACAAGCAATTGCATGTCAATCTGATTGCAGAAAAGAACTTAGAAGTCTATTTTTTAATTCTCTTGGGAGAAACTAGAGATCATAGAAGGTCAATTAAGAGTGTTAATTAAGATAAAACCGAGGAAATTTAGCACTTCAAAAAGCTATTAATTAACAGAGAGCTTGCCAAAAGCATTAGACAGACACTTTTCCTTTTTGAGTTAATTTCAAAATATTGCAGTAAAGTAAAATTCAACAGTGACAGATTGAAATGACAAAATTCTCCAGGCCAATTAATTGACAAAAAATATATCCTTTCATAAAGGCTGTTTATAGAATCTAATCCTCAGATGACTCTCCTACCAAACTACTGAATCAGCAGCAGCTTTATTTGCAGCAGCTTGTCAGGCCTCTTGATTAATAAATAAGTATAAATAAGAATATTGGTCTAAACAGAGACCTATAACAGACAGAATAAAAGCTTCATAATGTGAGATGCCCTTCCAACAAAAAGGTTTGTTAAAATGATTCAAAATAAACAGAAATATTTGCAAAAAACATGTCAGAATTAATTTAGACTATGTTCAGGTAGAATTGTCTCTGGTACTTCTTTGTATCTGTGGTGCATCAAGAGAACATAAATCCTCTGTGAGGGGTCAGGGTACTCTGGTTTTGCCTGGCACTCTGTCACCTGCCCTGTGTCAGCCTCATCTGTGACAGGTCCTTGGGAATGAGGGGAGAAGATACAAGTCCCCTTTGCACTCCCTTGTAAAAGACAATCACCTCTTCTTCTCCCTGGGTTTCTCTGGGCTTTTGCATTGCTGAATCACTGTATATTTC